TATGAATAATAAAAAAAAAAATGTTACAAGACATACAACATTAAACCTAATTCGTTTGGTCTTCAAAATAGTTCAATTTCAATTTATGTATTGGATTTAAAATTATGTGTTTAAAAAAAAAAAAGAATTTTAAGTTAAGTACCTATATTTTAATAATCTATATTTTAAAATCTTGCACCTACATAGGTAGTAAAATCTAAAACTCAAAAATGAAGGTAATTCATTTTATTTCATACGATTATACGGAATACAGATTAATGATAAGAAGTACTTATTCCAATAAAGTTTGTGTTAGAAATGTATACAGAAAAATTGAAAATAGTTGCAAACTAATAAAAGGAACTAGGAACTTGTAAACGGATTGGTTAAGTTGTTATTTTAATTTTCTATTTAAAATTAAGGCTTCGACAACTAAGGTCATTAGTGACCACTGTTACTGTGGCCTGTGGGAAAGGGTACTGTTGGTTTGAATACGTGTGTGTATATGCAGTGTGGCGTGTGGCGTATGCGTGGCAAGGATTTGTCAGTTGACACTGAAAATTCTGGGTGGTCATCCATCCGGGAACTAGTGACACTGGCCAATGCGTGCACTCACACATTTGAAATATTTAATTTTTTTTAAATTTCATGAAATTTTCAAACACTAGATATTTCGTGTTGACTCGTTTAAAAGTACCTACCTTGTAATAAATAAAATACTATTTAAAATAAAAACCAACTAAGTATAACATTACAAATCGTTTATTTATGCAAATCAACAAAAACATTTTTTTATAATTTCGGCGGTAAGGTAAGCGTACTTTCTTCAAATTGCAGATACCGTGTACCGTAAGTGAACGGCTGTTGTCTGGCTGCAGCCAAGTATACCCACTGGGTCTATTACGTCATAAGTCCCTGACATATCATGTTTTTCATTTTCCAACTATATTTTGTATGTATGTATTGTATGTATAGAGTGTGTTTCCTTTTAAAGGTAACACTAAATAATTCTGTCCAGTGACATCGGATTAATATGCGGTTTTCAGGAGGGGATAGGGAATACATAAATACACATTTCTTAATGATTTTTACATTTTTAGATCATTCCGTGTGCGCATGCGCAATACAACTTGCATTTTTTTAAATGGCAACAGGTGTTTTGAATACCAAATTCGGATAGACCGATTTTTTTAAGTCGACTTGGTCCTCTTTTTACTATAGCTCTAAAATCAAAATTGACTAAATGGCAACCAGTCAAAGTTTCAATTAAAATTATTGAATTTTACACCAATCATACTAGAATTTTATGAATTATTATGAAATTTTATTTATTATTTTTGTATCCGTAGGTTTGCAGATATTATTAAATCATTTAAATTTAATTTTGAGGAATTAATTAACCTCACAACGTAAATCTATCCAAATAAATAATAGAAATGTTAGTTCAATTACTAAGTAAGAAAAGATTAAACTAATTAACACAATTTTTTTACAATTTCAATTATTTCAATTATTTATTTGGATAGATTTACGTTGTGAGGTTAATTAATTCCTCAAAATTAAATTTAAATGATTTAATAATATCTGCAAACCTACGGATACAAAAATAATAAATAAAATGTCATAATAATTCATAAAATTCTAGTATGATTGGTGAAAAATTCAATAATTTTAATTGAAACTTTGACTGGTTGCCATTTAGTCAATTTTGATTTTAGAGCTATGATAAAAAGAACCAAATCGACTTCAAAAAATTCGGTCTATCCGAATTTGGTATTCAAAACACCTGTTGTCATTTTAAAAAATGCAAGTTGTATTGCGCATGCGCACACGGAAAAATCTAAAAATGTAAAAATCATTAAGAAATGTGTATTTATGTATTCCCTATCCCCTCCTGAAAACCGCATATTAATCCGATGTCACTGGACAGAATTATTTAGTGTTACCTTTAAAAGGAAACACACTGTATTATTGTACTATATTTTATAATATTTATTATGAACGGTAATTATACAACTGTAACACGTCGTCTAGGCATATGAATCATCTTTTCTGGAGTGTGGCATTCAGAATTCAGATTTTCGGATATAGGATACTCCGTCCATGTATTGTTTGAAACGTCTTGCCAAACGCATACGATTATAGTGCATCATATACCGTGGTTCACCAATTTAGGGAACACTGAATTTCTCGGCTGGATTATGTTGGAATAAATCGAATTTTTTTTTACAAGCTTGTGGTATATAAATACACATTTTCAGATAAATTTCAAATTTTTAAACCCTTCGGTACGTGCATGCGCAATGCAACTTACTTTTTTTTTTTAATAGCAACAGGTAGTTTTGATACCAAATTCGGATAGACTGAATTTTTTTAAGTCATTTTGACCAGTTGACCATGGCTCTAAAACCAAAATTGACTGAATGAGAGCCATTCAAATTTCAATAAATAATACATTTTTACAATTCACTATAAAATGCATAAAACCATTTATAATTATTTATTATTGGTTACTTTTTGAATAACTTTACTTATTTTTTTTTATACGTGTTATAAATAAGATTAACATAATATGGATATAAAATTATTTAATCAAAATTGATTACAACAGTTATTTTATAACTACACAATTAATTAAATAAATTGTTCAAAGTTTGCTCCGTGATTGTCGACACATAATTGAAAACGTTGTAGACATCCTCTATTAGTTGCTGACATTATTTCACTTTCAGTAAGGTTATTACACGCAACCAAGATTTTATTTTTTAAATCTGCTAGGTTAACTAGTGGATCTGCGTAGACTACTGTTTTCAAATGTCCCAATAAAAAAAAATCAAGTTTTGTAAAATAATTTTATATCCATATTATGTTAATCTTATTTATAACACGTATATAAAAAAAAAAATACGTAAAGATATTCAAAAAGTGACCAATAATAAATAATTATAAATGGTTTTATGCATTTCATAGTGAGTTGTAAAAATGTATTATTTATTGAAATTTGAATGGCTCTCATTCAGTCAATTTTGTTTTTAGAGCCATGGTCAACTGGTCAAAATGACTTAAAAAAATTCAGTCTATCCGACTTTGGTATCAAAACTACCTGTTGCTATTAAAAAAAAAGTAAGTGGCATTGCGCATACACGTACCGAAGGGTTTAAAAATTTGAAATTTATCTGAAAATGTGTATTTATATACCACAAGCTTGTGAAAAAAAATTCGATTTATCCCAACATAATCCAGCCGAAAAATTCAGTGTTCCCTAAATTGGTGAACACACGGTATTTTATACATTTTACATTGGGTGATAATAAATAATATTATAGGCTTGACGCCATAAAGAATAATTAACTTGTACATATAAAAAAAACTATTTCTAACAATTTATTTACAACAATATAACAGTACATTATGTACTTTTATAATATTTATTATGTTCTAAAACTATATTTTGTAAATCATTAGTCATATTATTTTTTTGTTCCCCTCGTTTATTATTACAATATTATAATATATAACCAAATGTATAATGTATAAAATATTTTATTGTAAATTGTTAGAAATATCAAATATGTTTTTGTATCCACTTAATAACTACTCTGTAGTCAAACCTTCAATGTTATTGTGTATCCCCCCTAATGCAAAATGTACACAAATATATTATGTACTGTACATATTATATTTGATTGAAGGTTTGACTACAGAGTACCTAGTTAATAAGTGGATACAAAAACATATTTGATATTTCTAACAATTTACAATAAAATATTTTATACATTATACATTTGGTTATATATTATAATATTATAATAATAAACGGGGGGATACAAAAACATAATATGACTAATGATTTACAAAATATAGTTTTAGAACATAATAAATATTATAAAAGTACATAATGTACTGTTATATTGTTGTAAATAAATTGTTAGAAATAGTTTTTTTATATGTACAAGTTAATTATTCTTTATGGCGTCAATCCTATAATATTATTATGTATCACCCAATGTAAAATGTATAAATTATATGATGTACTATAATCGTATGCGTTTGGCAAGACGTTTCAAACAATATATGGACGCAGTATCCTAGATCCGAAAATCTGAATTCTGAATGCCACACTCCAGAAAAGATGATTCATATGCCTAGACGACGTGATACAGTTGTATAATTACCGTTCATAATTAATATTATAAAATATAGTACAATAATATACATACAATACTTTACATACAAAATATAGTTGGAAAATGAAAAACACGATATGTCAGGACTCATGACGTAATAGACCCAGTGTTATACTTGGATGCGGCCAGACGACAGCCGTTCACTTGCGGTACACAGTACCTGCGGCCGTGTCATTAGCGGAGTTTGTCGTTTGCGCATCATTAGTACCTCAGGTAAGAAATTTGGTAGGTCGTTTGCGCATCTCAAATGTTAACAATAGAAAGGTGCCTACTACCTATTACCTATCTACCTATTAGTGACATGACCGGATATATTGGTGAGATAATAATGTATAACTGATAAGTTATACAAGTACGGAATGTTATACTAAGATGTGGAACTTTTTAAATGAGTTGTGTGGTTCATTTAATTTGTCGTTCATGCCTTTGAAATAAGCGCCCATATTGCAATTAAGTTTGTTTTTCCGGAATGCAAAATACATTTATTTATTTTTTTTGGTAAATGTGGATATTAATTTTGTAATTTTTTTAAATATGAACAAAGAATATTGACGATTATTTTTGTAAGTGTAAATAAAACCTGGTATACGTAATTTGCAATGAGCAATCGGCCTATAAAAAAGGTTATTTGTAACAATAGCTAGGGAAAACACCCTATGCCTTTTTAACAATAGCGATGCGCAAACGGCCTAAATAAAGGTTTTTTGTAACAATAGCGATCGGAAAACACCCTATGCCTTTTATAACAATAGTGTTGCGCAAACGGCCTACAAAAAAGGTCATTCATAACAATAGCGATGCGCAAACGTCCTAGGCCCGTAATTAGTACATAACTTACTCATCGGACAAGATGGCGCCACAACAAAATATGAAGCCGAAAAACTGTTTTGTTCGGCACCAGAGAGTGCGGTGACGTTCCTTTCCTTGTGGCTTTGTGTCCTCTTCTCCAGTTTCGGATTCCGAAATCCACGAAACATTCCTGTCGGAACTCCAACGCCTCGTGACCGGGTCTACGTCGCGTTCCAAAAGGATTTGGTCGTCCGTTCGCCGCTCTTCGACTTCCGGCGTTGGCGGTGCCTGCACCAAATCCGCGGTCGGATCGAAGGTCACGTTTTCACCTGCTAACACTAGCGGCCAGTTAAATGTGGCGTCGACGATTGCCATCGCGGCCCGGAATTCTGGACCCGCATAGTTGGGCAGCTGTATGCGACGGTAAACTGGTTCAGGCGGCTTGACGTAAAGGTCCAGTCCTAATATTTCAGCATCCGATAAGTAGCCCGGTTGAGTCGTCCGTTCTGTGTTAGGCACGATGTCCCCAGCGCTCTGGTCGTGAGTTTGACGAGGCATTGCCTCGACATCCGGCACGGAATAGAATTTTTCGGGCTTCAGGTCCGGAAAAATGCTCATGATTTCTTCCCTCGCAGTGGAAAGTGACTGATATTGGTTTGCGTTCATGATAATTGATAACAAACGATACAAAATTCGATAAGGCAGGAATACGATATTGAACGGTATGTCGGTATCAAATGAACGACGGCAGTGATATGAATGAACCAAATTCAACAATCACAGATTGTTTATTTTAATCAAATCTAAATCCACAGGATTACTGTTGATTTTTAATAGGCCAGTATAAATATTACCTTATTATCTTTTAATATGCACTCGTTTCAAATACGTGCAACAACACGTGTTTGCAGCCGCCCCCCATATTTTTTGATACCATGCCTAATTAAAAAGCATGTAAATTACAAAATGTAGCATGCAAATACATAGTAATTACTTGAAAAAAGAAATTGGAAAATTCTAATGTTGGTGGCTATAGACCAAATTTATATTTGTCATAAAAATCTGGCAACGTACGTCACTTCTAATTTCACGCGTAGTCGTACCTTTGGATAATCAAAATTCTTGTTCATTTCGGCACAATCGTATTGTATACCCAAAAAGGTAAGACGTTTGCAATCGTACTCCATCGAATATTTCGATAATAGTCTAAAAGTTTTTCTCTGTCATTTTATTAAAATTCTGTTAGGTTTCTTAAGGCAAATAAAATAAAGAGACGTTTTATTTTAGTGTACTGTATAATAACAATATACGATATATCCGTTCCCGATTTTGAATGTAACAGCTGTCTGATTTTCAAGCCCATATACACGCATATTGTATTTTTTTTTTTTGAAAACGCATTAATAAATGTATGCCTGAAAATACACTCCATCCACACAATCGTTGTTTCTTTTGTTTAAAGAATAAATTAAAAATATTTACACAAATTTTTTTTTAACAAAACAGATTCCTTAATCATAAAACATCAAACACTCGAGAACCAAAACTCGCCAAATGTATTTCAATATATTTATAATATACTGCACGGTCACAAACATAATAATATATATCTAAATCTAATGAAGAATTTTTGTAACACTTTGATAAAAATGTTAGAAATGTTTTTCACAACTATAAGTCTATAACACGTGTTTTTGGTTTGAATGGGATAATAAATCTCAGGATTAAGTATGTGTACAGTGTACACGTATAGCGTGTATTCGAAAACGAGTTCAAACATTTAAATTTAAAACGGAATCTCTTGGTATTTCATTTGTCACTAAATAATGTTTTTTTCTGATTTTATTCACGAATATTTAAAATAAATTTATAATAATTATCTAATACGTAGTTTTTAAAAAAAAACCTTTATCGAGAAAATAATTGAGTACTTAATCTTATATAATATATAAAATCTCGTATATATATTATATATTTTAAGCTCACAATCAAAATTAACCAATGCTATTTTATATTATTAATGTATACCTATAGAGTCTATATTATTATAATTTAAAATATAGAAATAACTAATTAAAGTGGTGCTTCATTGCATGACAACTGGATAAAGAAAGATTATTGTACAATTTAAAATATTATACTATTTACACTTTTAATCAAACTATACATTATCAGTCAGAACACATTTTAGACTGCGCCACACCGAGCCTCTTAAGTTAATTTAGTAAAACAATACTATAATAATAACTAATTAGCCAAAAATAAAATTTAAAAAAATTTAGGGGGGAAGGGGCACGTACCCCCAGTGCCTCCCTCTGGCTATGGCACTGTCACTTAAAACCTATACTATTCAGCAACGCGACTACTCCGGTCTTGTAACTTCAAACCAACATATTATGTGTATGTGATAATGGTATATTGTGGTATGTCACATTTAAACTAAAAAAAAACCGACGTAAAAACATGTTGTGTTCTGAATTCAAGTTTGATAAAACGTCAATTCAAGTTAGACTAAGCACTCCCAGATGCCAGGCCCTGCTATATTTTTTGTCATGATCTTTTATGCTTTGTTTCAGGCAATGTAATTTATCAGGTAAAGTATAATTTATGATATATTTTTAAATTAAATTAGTATTTATTGCATTTACATAATATGACGTGCGTGTTCCGAATCGTGCAGATAATTTTATAGATGTGCTCACGTTTAGTCATACCAATTTTAGAAATTTGTTTGATAAAACGGAATAATTTATATAATATTCTGTTATATTACCTAAGTATTTACTTTTAAGTAAAATTAATCCTATAAGCAATCTCTTATACGTTTTATGAATGTAGATAGTAATTATAATATGTATTTATTAGATATATTTATATTATTTTACACCTCTTCGTACTTCTTTTGAACATTATCATCGTGTTGATAAATTATATCTACCTCCTGATGATGACCTATATGTATTATAATATAATCATCATAGTCTTATTTTTATGGCAGGCGATTGATTGTTTATGTATATTTTGCTTTATACTAAGTTATTAGTGTGGTTGATCATAATTAAGTATCTGTTAACAATAAAAAAAATGAGTAAAAATGACGAAACCATTAACAATATCGAGGATTTTAAGTCCCTAGGTATTTTTAAGGGGATACTTATAATAATTTATTAATAAATAATTCACCATCTTTTTTTTTAAAAATATAAAATTATGATCGACTTAATATTATTAATAAAATTGATAGTATTATTAATAAAAACCAATGAAAAATGCATTTAAGTAATATTTAAGTAAACATATTAAATATATTATTTTTTTTTTTAAATAAATAAAAATAATAAAAATGAAAATTTGTTTGTCATCACTCATCATTAACACTCCTCTCTTATTATACCAAGGTCGCGGTCTGAAACTTAATGTAGAAGACGTAGCTGTTGTAGAATGTATTGATGATAATTTTTTTAGACCCCTTATTTTTTTCATTGAAATTATTAAAATAGTGATGAGTAACCACTAACCATCAACAAGTTTTATTGGAAAGCCACTGTTTATATTAATATGCTATATTGTTGATAGGTGCACGATCGTCTCTTAATATTGATCACAAACAAATAAAATATACATATGTGATGGATTTGGACATTTGATTGTACCTATTACAATATTTATGCATTCATACAAATAATGGTTATTTTATGTTTCATGTGGCTTGTATCAACTGCAGAAATCCTCTGAGTGCACGCGTATCGGCCAGTGTTGTTAGATCCCGGATGGGTGACCACCCGGGGATTTTTAGCTACAAATCATTGCCACATATACAAACGTGTTTCAACCAACCTTTCCTCTCCCTACGAACAAAACAGCTAATGGCCGTATAGTTGAAAGGGCTTAAGCTCAATAGTAATAAAAAAAATGAATGTTTCATGAACTGTTCTTATGTTGAAAATAAACATATTTAAAATAATATAATCTCGACAAATTATTGTTTTTTGTTTTACATTTTAAACTATTGCGATTAGGCACCTTGCCTCGTTGTTCATGAAAAGTCTGTGATCTATGACATTCGGTAGGTACTTATTATATTTCCGTGCATGCCATTTTAAATATAACAAACATAACCCCATGCAATTGCAGTTATTATTGTATAACCTCGCAAAGTTTTAATCGCGAAATTCAGATCACTTTACAGACACATAGAAAGAAAACGTTACTATTGTTTTCATGCATTTTGCGTGCTCGTATAATTTCACACAAACACACAAACACACACACATATATTATATATATATATATATAATTTGCATTTTGCATGTTTAATATTGTATAAACATAATATTTAAATTGTATTTTGCTAGGTAGTCTAATATCTCAAATTTGTTTCTGAAATTCTATCTATTTCTACAAAACACTAAAATATTATAAAATTAAGTACCTATATTATTATGTTTATAGGTAAACTTTAATACGGGTCAACAGAAACATAACCCCTGTGTACGTGGGTAATGTACATAACACTCGTTTTGAATGAATGCTTTACTTATAATAACAACACATGCAATGGCTAGGTTCCGGAGTTCAATCAAAGTGAATTTTTTTATTTGGTGGGTGCTCTAGAACAATGCATTTCAAATATCCAGTAACCAACCGCTCGTCAAATCAAACTCGGTTTCAACCACGCGGTCGAACCTCTATAATTATATAGTGTGACACGACCCTAAGATGTACTTTAAAATCGAAACTCATACATTGAGTTTGTAGGTAATATTAATAATTTTTAACGCATGTTTATACAAGACAATGTGTACAATCAGACCTTATGCAATATAATCACAGATTAACGAGACGTATAAATTAGTTGAACTTAGAATTTAATATTATAATCTTAATCTTATAATTTCGGATGTTGAGAATGAATAATAAATAATTACTCATTTGCAGATGATGCTTTTTAATGTATTTTTAAATATAGAATCTATACAATATATGGTGCAGTTAATTTATTTAAATGGTTTAAAACGTCATTGATGTTCCATTAGAGGAAGAGAAGATTAAAAAAAAAGGTGGGCAAGTGGGTGTCGCTCTGCTGTACAGTAGGTTACAAGTGGGTCACTGTATAATGGATGGTATTAAATTTGAATTCAATGATATAATATCATTGTATAAGAAAAACGATTCTGAGCGGTGACGGTATGTCAGTCTATGTATAAGACATATTATATACATATCTATGGTATTAAACAAAAAATTGACCTATAATAAATTCCAAATTAATCATATCACAATATCCATTAGATACTTATAACAGTTATAACGCGTTATACATCAACAAAAACCGTGATACTGTCATAGATATATAATTGTACACTTTAGAAGTTTCAAGTACCCACGAATAATATTATTCAATCACAACAAAATAACTAAAATCGTAATTCTTGGTTTAAATATGAAATTTTGTCTAAATTTGAAATTAAAATGTCTGTAAAAAATAAGTGTGTTTATATATTTTTTAGATTTTTTGGTTACAGTATGAATTATTTAAGAGAATCTTTGTTTTAAATTTTCAACTCTTAGTTATAAAAACTGAACATTTTATAATTTTTTAATTCCAACGATTGATAATTTTTGAGATTTTGATAAATTTTGTCAAAATTCCAACTTTAAATGCT